AAAACTACGAAATCCATCATCCAGAAGATACAGGTGTTTATTAACAGTTGTCTACGCAGAATACTTCGGATCCGTTGGCCGGACACTATTAGCAACAACCTACTGTGGGAGAGAACAAATCAGATCCCAGTGGAGGAAGAAATCAGGAAGAAGTGCTGGAAGTGGATAGGACACACTTTGACGAAAGCACCAAACTGCGTCACAAGACAAGCCCTCAAATTGAATCCTCAAGGTCGAAGGTGGGGAGGAAGACCAAAGAACACATTACGCCGATAAATGGAGACAGGCATGAGAAAAACGAACAAGAAATGTATAGAACTAGAAAAGAAGGCCCAGGACAGAGTGGGTTGGATAGTGCTGGTCGGCGGCCTATGTTCCATTGGGAGTTAAAGGCGTAGGTAAGTAGGTAAGTAAGTAAGTGACATTTATAATAATTTTCGAAAGGTACGATTTGTTCGACACTGATTTTGTCTGTCAAACAGCAGTAATGGCTTGCATAACATCATGAGGATTATCATACACCGATTCCACGTACGCGCTAAACTGTCTCTCCCAGAACCGTCATATGAATATCGTCTCAGAAGGTCTGTTCTCAGGAGCCTCTACATTGTCCTCCATATTACCCTGTTTTTGATTTGTTCTGGTTGTAACGGAAAAGAACGGTCCAATTCCCTCGTCGGCATTTTATTGGACTGTACAGTCTTTATTTGTTTCTTCTTTCTGTTGTGTATTTTAACCTTTGTTTAGATCTCGCTTAGCCACATCTTTCGTTCTTCAGTCTTCCTCGTCTGAGCCTTTATTATGTGATTTTGATTAAGGACTCATCTTTTGTTTTCTAATTTTCTATCGCATGTTGCCGGACTATTGGCAGTAAGGTCGTTTTTGACTAAGCTCAAGGGGAAGGCGTGGTTCAGTTTGTGGCTGTTAACCTTTTGACTGTCTGCTTGGAAGGACTGCTGGAATCTCTGCTGGTAGATATTTGGTCCCATCTTGTTGGGAATACTTTTATTGATTCTCAGGTATCAAACCCTTTGGTATTAACTGTCTATTTTATTGTTTAACGCGCTATTTCGCGTTAGAGAAACTTCTGACTGTATAGCACAGGCTGTACCGTTTGAGATGTTTTGTATTTTTGATATATATCGTTCTATTTCCTAAATTAGAACCGTTTAAATTGAGCACAGAGTTTGTGTTTTGATATAATTTGATACGAATGTCTCAAAAACGCTTAGTGGGCTATACAGAAGAGCGCAGTCTGTCCTATTCGAATACGTTTTAGTTCGTCAGTCCTGCGATCAAACCGCATACTGGCAGTTAGGTCGTTACACTGGTAGTAATAAAAGAAACGGAATTATAGTTCTCACTATTGCTCATGCTATTGATTGCCATTTGATAATTCTGGGCGATTATAATAAGTCAATAGATTCTCTACGTGATCAAGGGAAGTAGAACTCCAACTAATGTTCATAATAATCGAATGAACCTTTGTCAGTGCTTGCTATGGGTGAACAGTTTTCTGATAGTTTGCTATGTCCAGCAACATTCTTATCGATAATGTAGTACTCAGACTCGCGTTACGAACTCTATAGGGTTTTTCATACACAGCATCAAAGAGTCACAGTCATGAACTGTGAGACACAAGAACTTATGTACTAGACGGTAAGGTGAGTTGGATGAAGAAAACGTGTGATCAGGGTGGAGTGGGAGCAGGCTTAAGTGAACGCACAATGTTGTGTCATATGTAGGGCTTTTATTCTTGATATACTGAGTGTAACTTGAGCACAAGAACGATAGAACCCTTCCAAGTCGCAAAGAGAAGACAGAAGACTAGTAAAAAAAATGTTATTCCAAACAGTGTTGACAACCCTAATTGAAAATACACTCATTTATATATTGATTGTACACGCACTTTGATTAGTAATTAGGATGAAATCATACATACAAAAAATACTCAGTTATAACAAACCACATACAGAGCATAGTTCATGTCAATTGAATACAAGAATATCGTACACTATACAGGATAAAATATCATGCGAGAAAAGAAAACAAATATTACACTGAATGATCATCACACTGAATCAGAAAGGAAGTAATGTTGAACAAAGCTCATGATTATTAAAACAATCGGATTTCGACTTTTCCTTCCATCTTATCAGTTTGTAAGTCGGCATGTGCAAGAGTTTAAATACACATCTGTTGAGGAAGAGGAGTGTTCAAGGAATCCTCCTTGGATTTTGATTTTGGTACTGTGAACGATTTTGGCTGCAGTGCATCCAGAGTTTTCTATCGCTTCGTTAAGCGTTTACAGTAAGACAATTGAAAAAGCATCGATCTAGTGTGATGAGACATGAGAATCTGTAAAATTTATGTATGAGTTGCCATTATCTTCACGTGGAATCCAGTTATAACGTTGCACCTAAAAAGCTACTGATGATTGAAGTGACTATAATAAGCAATAATGCAATAATCAATTAAAGCATGTAGACAACGGAACCAATTCCTTTGCCACATGAGGTAACTTTTAGGTCCATCGGACATGAATTAAAGCTAACACCAGCGTAGTGATTTTAAAACAGTAAAAGCCCCAAAAGACACAAATCGGTCTAAGATGGAGTTCAACAAATACAACGGTTGTACAAAACACGATTTTATTAGCCGATATAGTGACTAGAGGCTTGATAAGTCTAGTCGCGTTGTACTCCATCACAAATCAAAGCTGATTGTTATTTAGGAACATCCTTCAATTTTTAACTTTACTTTCGCCGTACATTTGCACTTTTCAGTGAATATGGCGTTTTGACGACTCAACACAAGCATTCTGTTCCTAGTCTTCATAACCATCGTTCTTACAAGTTCATATCTGCCTAAATGATGCTAAATGTTCATTCATTTGTGATGTAATTGCTATCGATGATTATTCCATCCTGGAAATTTTTTGTGACCTGTTGATTTGACTCCAACTAGATCAAGCGCTGATGCTAACAAAATATAAATGCCACAAACCTTCGTACGTAATTATCGACTTGATTCAAGTTAGAGAACAACGGAATAAGTCAAATACGAGAATGAATTTTGGATCAGTATGTTTCGTACACTCGTTTGTCCAGATAGAAAACCAGAGAAACGAAGTGAAGTTACAGATCGTAGAAGGCAAGTGTGCGAACCTCTGTCCGCTTTGATTCGTTTCTTACCTTCCACTTCTCACTCTGAATTTTTTATCTGGATTATTCAGTGTATTAAAATTAAAACACGAAGTTCAGCGAAGGGATCTCTTTTCAACGAATTTATTATCAAGCTGTACAATCGTATATATATAAAATTTTGTAAAAGTACTAATTCCGTGAGGAAATGTGAACACAGTTAACCATGACATAATAAAAAGGGGTTATAATACTAGATTACGTAATACGAATAATAACAATAGATTTAGTGAATATAATAAGATGATTACAATGTTTTTTTGTTATAATACTTAAAGGTCATAGAGGTGTGAAAAATAAATAAATAAGGTAATATGATGAGTATTTACGAATAAAAACAATGAGGATATAAGACATTAGTAAAGGGGGGAATGCAACATTAATAATAATAATAATAATAATAATAATAAAATAATCAAAATAATTAAGGCCAAGGTAACGATAGCGATAAGACGTACTTCTTTTGTACGCATAGTTCTGGCCTTAATTATTTTGATTATTTTATTATTATTATTATTATTATTATTATTATTATTAATGTTGCATTCCCCCCTTTACTAATGTCTTATATCCTCATTGTTTTTATTCGTAAATACTCATCATATTACCTTATTTATTTATTTTTCACACCTCTATGACCTTTAAGTATTATAACAAAAAAACATTGTAATCATCTTATTATATTCACTAAATCTATTGTTATTATTCGTATTACGTAATCTAGTATTATAACCCCTTTTTATTATGTCATGGTTAACTGTGTTCACATTTCCTCACGGAATTAGTACTTTTACAAAATTTTATATATATACGATTGTACAGCTTGATAATAAATTCGTTGAAAAGAGATCCCTTCGCTGAACTTCGTGTTTTAATTTTAATGTTTAAATGGGAATTATCTGTCAATATTCAGTGTATGAAATATATTGATTCCAAATTCATTCTCGTATTTGATATAATTTATTGTTATTCTGTAACTCGAATTAAGTCGATGATTACATACGAAGATTTGCGGCGTGTATGTTTTGTTCACATCATCGCTCAACGTATGATATCGGCAGATCACAAAAATGGTGAGCTTGATGTGATGGACGAGGCGAGCGAAGGATACGCATAAGCTGATGTAAAAACAGTCTAGTTCAACAAGCAAATAACTGACAATATCAAAATGTGATTGAAAAAAATGAATTGTTTAGTCTATCTGGAGGCTAGAATTACTTATGTAGGCTTGAAATAGTACCACATACCCTGAAGTTTTACAAAGTCCCTCATGGTTATCTTGTACTTAATGATTAGTCATATAATCGATCTTTTACAGAATATATCAGATAGATGTTCGCTTGTTTATATCTTTTGTTGATTTTCCCACTCCTAAAAGTAGTAAGCTGTTGGTGGTGATCGTAATACAAGTTAACCTGTCGGCCGTTAGACGAATAATGGAATAAGCACTCAGCTTTCCACAACAACATAATTCACAGTTGGAACAATTTCAACGAAGTGTGATCGAGTAAGAACTTAGGGATTTGAAGAAATATCACTTAATAGGTCTGAAAGCATTCAAATTGGAACGACAAGAAAGTGTGAGACATGAATTCTGTTTTTTAGGTTTGAACTGACGAGCATGGCATACCCACTGGTGACCTAACTTGAATACTTGACCAAACCACTTTGTCCGCGGGATGTCCGGTAAAATAAACAAGGTCAGCATCAATACCAAAAACTTATGGAACAATTTATTTCAGGGATTTATTTACTGCTATACTAACTTAGAAGTTTAATTATTGGACATAGAATTGACCGAAGAGCCCCTTTCAGTTCAAAGTTGACGCGGGTAAAGCGTCTTTGACTTTCAGATGTCTGGTCAGAGTGATCTCGATCGTCAAATTGAACAATTAAGGGCATGTAAACTTATTACGGAAGACGAAGTAAAAGCGCTGTGTGCAAAAGCAAGAGAGATCCTTATTGAAGAAAGCAATGTGCAATGTGTAGATTCTCCGGTAACAGTAAGTTGCATTGGATTCAGTAACCTTCCCTAGGTATGTGGTGATATTCATGGACAGTTCTACGACCTAATCGAATTGTTCAAGGTTGGTGGAGATGTACCGGACACCAACTATCTCTTTCTCGGTGATTTTGTTGACCGTGGATATCACAGCGTCGAAACATTCCTTCTTCTCCTCGCGCTGAAGGTAAATTGTTTTCCTTGTGTTCATTTGTGTAGGTCAGGTATCCAGACAGAATCACACTCATACGAGGCAACCACGAAAGTCGGCAGATAACAATGGTTTACGGATTTTATGAAGAATGCTTGAGAAAGTACGGCTCAGCGATGGTCTGGCGACAATGCACTGAGATATTCGATTATCTATGCCTTTCTGCCATTATCGACGGAAGGGTAAGTAAATATAAAGCATGCTTGAATATTATCTGTGCACTCAGATAAAATCTGCATGTTTTGCCACTGGAAATCCATTTCGTTTATTGTTATTAGTGCATATTTTGCTATCGTGAGAGGTTTAACGGGCAAACCGAATATAGTGAGTATCGAAACTCAAACCATGTCGTCCGTTATATTTATTGGTGTAGGTACTAACTCTCTGTGCGAGGTGACACTAATTTATCAAAATCCTTCATACATACAATTCTTACAATTTGTTTATCATACTACTGGTAAAATTTCCAGTACCCTGAGTTTATGTCGTCAATGCTTCAAATACATATCTGTTAAAAAGTTAGACATTTTTCTTAACTTGCTATGAATTCTGCAACTTTGCAATGGAAATTCTCCTTTTTAATGTGGGACATGCTGTCGATCTACATTTTTGTAGGGTCCCATGTTAATTATGACTATGTAATTTGTCCTTTGGGTTTCATATTTTTCGAACAACTAACTAATTTGGTATTACTATCGTATCACTTCTCGTTTATAGAAACCACAGAACTGACATTCGTTTTTCATAATTGCTAAATACTGTAGTGCTGTTTGAGTTTATTTTCCTATCACTCAACTGGGAATAAAATGGGTATCTTCATCAAATGATGAAAAGGTTTCTTTAGTCTAATTTTTTTTAGATCCGGTTAGTTCATTTCATCTGTTAACGTACAAGAGTCTGATTTCTATTCTCGTGGATATTCATTCAAAAAAAATATGTCCAGTTTAATAATAAATGCATTTATGAATGTTAATTTTTTTTATAAGATATTTTGTGTTCATGGAGGCCTATCACCTACAATTACAACATTGGATCAAATCCGTACTATTGATCGTAAACAAGAAGTTCCACATGATGGTCCAATGTGTGATCTTTTATGGTCAGATCCAGAAGAGACTGCTGGTTGGGGAGTAAGCCCTAGAGGTGCCGGCTATTTATTTGGTTCTGATGTTGTAGCTAATTTTAATCAAGTAAGTTAACTTTATTTTCAGGATCTTAAATATTTTCTTTATTCAAAAACGACCTAGTCATTAATTTATGGTTTTTACATATCTTAACAGCGCGTAAATTATAACTAAGCAGTAGATATCATAGTTGCTTCCTAGATTCTAGGATCAGTAATGAAAACTCAAGTGTATTATTTTGTCAAGTATAAAACCCTACTTCTTTTTTACACAGTAAATGGTCATTAGTATCACGTCTCTCGTCAATTTCGCATAATTAACATCTTCATGTTACTGATGTACAAAATCCTTGATATAAAAAGCTTTCATTTTCATGAAATAATGTTCATTACCAGTAGGCAGATGGCTAATAATTATAACTGTACTGATGTTACCGACTTCAAGACAGTCTAAACATGAATTTAAATTTTCAGATTTGTTTCGACCATAAAGTTGATATATTCTCACATACAGTGGAGGCTCATGATTGCTGACGACTTGGATACAAGTTGGAAAGCTATTCCATCTAGTTGTATTTCAATAGCTGCATCTTATTAATATACATCATGTAGAGCTTGTATCTCAAAGCTCTAGTACAAAACTGTATTTTTTTTAGCTAATCTTGGAAAAAACACGTAATTCCTAGAGTGTTCATGTTTGTTTCGAAGCATAAATTAGGAACTTGACTTTGAATCTGGTTGGTTTATCTTAAGTGTGAAACAAAGTTATCCAAATGATAATTCTGCATAAATAGTCATAATCTTACTTACTTACGCCTGTTACTCCTCGTGAAGGAGCATAGGCCGCTCATCAGCATTCTCCATCCAACCCTGTCCTGGGCAATTCTTTCAAGCTCTTTCCAGTTCTTATTCATCCCTTTCATATCTGCTTCTATTTCCCAATGTAATGTGTTCTTTGGCCTTCCTCTTTTCCGCTTCCCTTCAGGATTTCAAGTTAGAGCTTGCGTTGTGATGCACTTTGACGATTTGCGTAATGTATGTCCTATCCATTTCCATCGTCTTTTCCTAATTTCCTCTTCAGCTGGAAGCTGGTTGGTTCTCTCTCACAAAAGGCTACTGTTGATGGTATCCTGCCAATGGATGTTGAGTATCTTGCGTAGACAGCTATTGATAAATACTTGTACCTTCTTGATGGTGGTTGTTGTAGTTCTCCAAGTTTCAGCTCCGTACAGTAGAACTGCCTTGACGTTCGTATTGAAGATTCTGACTTTGATATTGGTTGAAAGTTGTTTTGAGTTCCATATGTTCTTTAATTGAAGGAATACTGCCCTTGCTTTGCCAATCCTCGCCTTTACGTCTGCATCTGAACCTCTTTATTTATCGACGATGCTTCCCAGGTATGTGAAGGATTCCACATCTTCCAGAGTTTCGCCATCAAGAGTGATTGGATTGCTGTTCTCCATGTTGTGTTTGAGGACCTTGGTTTTCCCTTTGTGTATTTTGAGGCCTACTGATGCAGAGACTGCTGCTATGCTGGCTGTCTTTATCTGCATTTGTTCGTATGTATGCGATAGAAGGGCTAGGTCATCTGCGAAGTCTAAATCGTCTAATTGGTTCTGAGCTGTCCATTGTATGTCGTGTTTTCCCTCAGATATCGAGTTCTTCATAATCCAGTCGATCAATTTTTGCCATAACTATATACCGACATCAAATCTCATGGTGTTATAGTTGCAGAAATTGCAATCAAATTTCCAAGTTCATGATATTATTCATATTATCACATAACAAACAAATGACAATTGGTAATGTGGAAAAGATAATTTCATGAGGTTTCGTCTCGTTTTGATGTATCCTCAATGTGTCTCACCTTAATTGCTACCATGACATGGTGTTTGGGTTCGCCTTTCATGATGGGAATAGTTGTTATTTTTAGGTCCTACCATGCTAAGCGGTAGTTTGATGGCTTTAAGGTGTTCAACTTTTGGTCGCCAAGTTCCATATTATTCAAACCTCGCTCCATCTACTTCGATCTAGGCAACCAAGTAGTATCATTATTTATTTATTTATTTTAACACATAAGTATAAGTACAGGGAGGCACCAAATACATATGCGCCACACAAATCTCAATTGATTTGTGTGAGGGCTGTGATACTGCCCGGGTGCCCAAACCGAAGTAGTATCATTAGCCTTTCACATATAGATTGTGACTTTTACCCAGGTTTCTAGTGAATGAAACACGTCTGTTGGAGTATATTAAGAGTAAAAGTAGGAACTTTTGAGGTCCGATGACGAAATTGTAGTACCGATTGCGTCGGCTTGTGACAACTCCAGTAAAGTGTTTCTCTCAAACACCTCGAATCATCAAGTGTATACAATCTTCTCACAACTGAAGGGAGGGTTTAGACAAGTTCATGACAACCGCTCAGTATTTGTTTTATGGAGAGAAGTACATATTATGCCATACAAAAATAGTCTATATTGTTTATAGTGTGAATAGGCTGATTAAATCAGATCACTTTTGGATTTATTAGTAGAGTTTAGTTATTGTTGGCTATAGTACTCTAATTCATTCACTTTAACCTTGAACAAATACTTTTATAGTCACAATATGACAAAGAATATGTTTCTTTTACCATCTATTCATCATAGGTTGTTTTTTTAGTTTTGACTAGACATATATATTATTTCACTGGTTGAAATCATGAATGCATTAAAGCTAGACCACCATGGAAAACCTGGATGCACTGGACCGCCGTTTCGTCCTAGTATGGGACCCCTCAGCAGTGCACATCCACGATCTCGCTCCTCGCGAGATTCGAACCCAGGAACTATCAGTCTCGCGACAGTCGCTTAACCAACTAGACCACTGAGCCGGCATCCAACGGTGTTAATGTCTAACTTCAACCAATCCTCGAAGTTGCGCCACCGTACATCATTGTCTTCAGTGAGCTGATATCTCACAACAGACCTGGTTGAACTCCACTGGTAACGGCTTCTCATTAGAACTTCAAGAGTATCTCTTGGAGTCCCATACTAGGACGAAACGGCCGTCCAGTGCTTCCAGGTTTTCCATGGTGGTCTAGCTTCAATGGATTCATGATTTCAACCAGTGAAATTTCTAAAATCTCCACACAATTCCTTCTGATATATATTATTATCAATCGGTAATATTTCATTACCCTTTTATTTTTTGTATATATATCTCACCATATTCTAGTTGAATCGGATCGATTTTATTTGTCGTGCACATCAATTAGTTATGGAAGGTTATCGTTGGCATTTTCATGAAAGTGTTCTTACTGTATGGTCTGCTCCAAATTATTGTTATCGTTGTGGTAATGTTGCTGCTATTCTACGTTTAAATGAACGATTAGATAAAGAATTTTCTATATTTGAAGCTGCACCACAGGTAATTCATAGGTCTATACATGCATATATATATATATATATATATATATATATATATATATATATATATATATATATATATATATATATATATATATATTCCACTGTTATATGACATACAAATACAACTTTAGTCATTGTAGGATATAGCGACTTAATTTTATTGATCGATAAATTTCGTGTAATTAACACGTTTAATGGATAACAAGAGCAGTACGGTTTTTTTTAATGTTTTGATGTAAAGCATTTTGAAGACTAGTCAGTCGGTCAACTACAACGTTAGAACAGGTACACATATGCATTCGTCCAAGTTGCCATATATCTCATTAACACAACAATATGAACACCGGATTCATAGGAGTGGTTAATTCAATGGTGGTAATATATAAAATAAAGATTTCATATAACGATGTAGTACAGGAAGAAAGAATTAGTTGGTAGAAAAAAAGATATGAAGCGATTTTAATCTTATAGTTTAAGGGAAGACGGTGAGTGTATACACCAACGCCAATGTGATCGATTCTGAGCCGTCTCCAAGAGTCTGCAACCATTTGATTACGATAGTCACACGGACCCCAACCAAGTAGTCTGCATCTGCCAACATGACTCAGTTTAGAAGTTAGTGACTTCAAGCACTGATGCCACGTTTTGGTTTGGTTGTCCTTAACATCCTTCCAACCATCCCCAACACCAGTCAACATTACGCATCGTAGTAATCGACGTTCAGACATATGTAACACGTGGCCCAACCATCTCATCGGATGAAGATTCACAACCATCATTCCCTAATACCCTACGTCTAACCTCACTATTACTTACCCGGTGATCCCAGCAGATGCCAGAAATACTTCTAAGGCATCTGTGGTCAAATACTAGTAACTTATGAGTACCTTCGACTCTTAATGTCTATGTTTTACTGCCATAAAGTAAAACAGAACGAACTGCCGCACAGTATACTCGTCCTTTTATTGATAGATGGTTATCTCACCTTCGTCATAGATGGTGACGTAAGTTGGTGAAAACCAAACGAGTTTTTTAAATCTGAAGACTATTCAATTTATACTATGATTCTAAAAGTAGTCATAAGATCTAAAGGGGGGAAACTGTTGTTAGGCATTCACATCCCAATATACTAAGGTTATGGACAAATAAATTTTCCAAATAAAATTTCTTCTATACATTCACTAAGTACTAAGTGTTTACTACTACTACTACTACTATCCATCTTGTGATGAATACCATCTTGGTTAAAACGATAAACAGAAATGTGTTGATCATTATATAATGTATATTGATATGATACAATCAACTGATAAGTTTATTCATAATCCTAAGTTACTAATACAAGTTCCACAATATTAGTAAAATAATATACAAAATATATGTTTATAGGTCATCGAATGATATGGGGGATACAGTTTGTTTCTAAAGTTTATTCACGTGACATTCAAAGGATAGTCCGATAATAAGACCTAATTATTGTTTATCATGAAATAATATAGTAACTGTTTATGACAATCTTAGTAAACTGGGTTTTTTTTTACATTTAATTTACGGCTGCGAAACGTGACCATTAAGAGTTGAAGATATATTCATAAGCTATTAGTATTTGACTACAGATCCCTTAGAAATATTGCTCGCATCTATTGGAATCATTGGGTAAGTTATGGTGAGGTTAGACGCAAGGTATTAGGGAATGATGGTAAATCCTTTAATGAGGTTGTGAATCTTCATCCACTGAGATGGTTTGATCACGTTACGTATGCCTGATCACCGATTACCACAACGCGCAATTTCATTTATTTATTTATTTTAACACATAGATATTGGTACAAGGAGGCACCAAATACATATACGCCACACATATCTCATTGGATATGTGTGAGGGCTGTGATACTGCACGGGTGCCCAACCTGAAGCAGGTGATTTTCTTAGGGGTCACACCACGAGCCTTCGACCTGAAGATCTGATCCACAAGGCAGTGGAGCATAGTAAGGAGATGCAGTGTTATGGTAACCGGTGACAAACGATTGGTTCATACGCCATTTGTTCCCTAAGGCAGGATACTGGAGCCCATATGCATCATTGGTTTGGGATGAGGTTAAAGCGCCGAACATTCGCTTTTCGTCCTCTCATTTTCGTAAACAACAGCAGTGAGTAGGACTTCCCTGACAGAGGCTGAACACGCGTGGCCATGTGAGAGCATTTGTAGAGGGAGAACGGATTCTCCCCACTCTCGGCCGTACCAGGGCATTTGGGGGCACAACGCTCAATGCTGACTAGTGTTAGGGATGGTTGGAAGAAAGTTAAGGGTGGCCAGACTAAAAAGTTACATCAGTGCTTGAAGACACTAACTTCTAGTCTAAGCCATGTTGGTAGATGCAGACTACTTGGTTGGGGTCCGCGTGACTATCATAATCAAATGGTTGGAGACTGTGTGTGATATGGCTCAGAATCGATCAAATCGACGTTGGTGTATACACTCTCTGTCTTACTTTAAACTAAGAGATTAAAATCACTTCATATCTTTCTTTCTACGAACTACCTCTTTCTTCCTGTATTATATCCTTATACACAATCTTTCTTTTATATATTACCACCCCTGAACTAACTACTTCCATAAACTCGGTGTTCATCTTGTTGTGCTAATGCGCTATGGCAACTTGAACCAATGCACATATGTGCCTGGTCCTACGTTGTAGCTGTTTTTTAATTTGGTTTCTCTTTATAAATTATGATGCTATTGATTGGAATCTCAATAAAGTCATCGTATGTCACTACCTGATTTGCACATCCTCATCGATCCCCCAATCTGTGTGGGAAATTTGCTACATTTATAGCTTTTAAATTCTGATTCGTTGAGTTATCTTAGGTGGATATCGAAATGTTCAAAACTTGAAGTTAACTAACTTCCTTCAAGTGTTGATGTCTGTGCTCTACCATGTACATTTTTCTATACTTGCCTGACTGACTCATCTTAAAGCCACTCTAATTGTGTAAATGCTGGTCAATACTCTCCAGCTTTGTTGACAGCTATTAATATATATCACCCTTTCAGTTATTGCGCTTCAGTTTAGATTTAAAATAAGATCACCTTAACAAGGCATGTTTTATGATAAAAGGATAATCCGTTGGTAAAATATCTCAATGACTATTGTTAACGAATGAATAATTTCGTATTAAAATCAAACCTCTAATTCTAACTGATTAAATTAGTACGAGTATAAGTTATTCATCAAAAGCAGAGAGAAATCAATAAGATTGCAACTTTGTCCATCATCTCAAGTGTATTATATCCTAATGGGGTCATGTATCCAAGTATTTTTACTGAGTGACCCAGCCTGTTGTTGTTGTTGACTAGAATTGTAAAAACCCATATCTCATGGTATCTCTACAATCTCAATGCACCTTTTTGTGCATCAGCTGATTAGCTACTGGTGATTGGAAATTCATGTATAGCAAGTTTATGTAGCTCTGAAAGTGCTATAATCGAATTCATTATAATTAGTCATCCTTTACATACAACAACTGTTACTTGTAGAATTTTAGGCATCAAGACATATTGATTTTGTTCAGAATGTTGGATACTAGTTAGTCGGCAACATCGTTTTAACCGACAGTCGTTGCTGATTTGTATTTCGTGTCAAAGTTACAGCTTGATGATGCTGTTGCCCAACATTTTATTTGCTTGGCCTCCAAATGCCTTGGTACGGCCGAGAGTGATTGTTTGCTGATTAGCTAATCTTTCTCAAGATCACTTAAAAGTCGTTCAAAGGTCGTCTATAAATTAGAGTCCCACCATTTTGATCCTTATTGTATAAGAAGGGTATCCTGCTAGAGTTTAATAGCTAGAAAGAATTTTGTAAATTACTTGACAATAATGATCTTTTCTTTTTTATCATAATTTTATTACAGGATGTTCGAAGTATACCAGCTCGACGACCAATACCAGACTATTTCCTTTAAAGTATATAAAACAAAAAAACATCTTATTCACAAAATAATAATAATGACTGTTATTATTTCCCTTGTTTATAAACCCTTTTTCATCCCCCTCTGTCAACTTTTTTTTTTGTAATTTTACTTCTATTTATCAATGTGTTTTTATATAAAATGTTTTCTTCCCCTCCCCTCCTCTCCCTATCACCTTCCGTTCCCTTCCCACTCCACCCTTAATACTACTCAACTATTCCAAGATTTATGCATTGTTTACAAATTTTTTTTTGTTTTTTGATACCCAAAGTAAAAACAAATTGTATTCTATCAACAACAACAACAACAAAAATTTTTTTTAAATTAAGTGTGTGGAGGGAGTTTGTATTTGTGTATAAAATATCCATTTGGAATAAAGAATAAGTTTTCTTTCAAGAAAAAATAACGTATATATATATATATATATACTATTATTGTTCATTCGATGTAAATTATACTGAATATGCAAAGTATAAATAAAAAAAAAGAAATCAATGTCTCAGGGAATCATCATCTATCTGTCTTTTTCTTCTTCTTGTTGTTGTTGTTGTCGTCATGGTTTCATGTTACCATTGTGCATTTCTTAATTCAGCAACTAATTTAATAAAATCACGATGACTTGCATAAAGTTGTAAATCAGAACTAATATCTGTCCAACGTACAGCATCTGCATCATCACCTATTTGATTATGATGTTGGATAGTTATTGTGGTGGTGGGGAGGAGAATTGGTAAATTTGTTTGTTTATTAATAAGTAGTAATAAAAGTAAGTTGAAGGAAGGGGGGATATTTGTTTGTATGAGCATCAATCAATGGGAAGGTAATTATAATTAAAAAGTTAAGAACAGACTGCCACCGAGTTGCATTATGTCTAGAATCTCAACAAGGGAATTATGAAGGAATAATTCATAAATTAACTCTCCGAATTTATTAACTAGTCCAAGCATTGGCAAGTAATGCATGATGCGAAATTTACTGGGATAACATTCATAGCACATGTTCAAGCCACTAAAGTCGATGTTTCAAGGTCATGATACCAATTAAACTGTAGCCACTAAGTCTGAACCTCAGGATTACTAAAATGGTGCTGCCACTGAATCTAGGCAACAATGGTCGAACATCGGAAGTTGTTTAACTTGGAGAGGTCAGGTTTCACAACTACAGAGTAAAACCACTGTCAGTCACGCGTTGTAAAAGTCGACCTTTTACAGTTCTGGCTAGAACTACAGCGACCTCAAAGATGGTCCAGATTGGAATAAGCCATTCTGGCTTTCACTATACATAGACTAATTTAGTCCTGCACGTCACCACTAGCACTTGCATAGCTACCCAGACGTGTGGACTTCTCAATCCCTTCTAACTGCTTACCACCAAGGGTGAGTGTAGGTATAGATTCCTGCCAGTCTTGTAAAATTACTTTGTACTTAAAAGGTGCAAGGCATATACTGTACCTGTGGACACTGATTGTCAACTGACTAAGTGCTGATTATGTGACATTATCTCAAAACCGATAGACCTATATGCAGGTAACTGACCCAAACCACCATTATCTATTTCTGTCAAAGTTGTTTGTAGAATGCCATTGACAGCATAGTCGAAAGAGAAAACTCACAATGGATAACATTTTCTAACCCAACTGCCTTGATGGGACAACAGGGATGTAATAGTGAAGAGAGGCTTCAAGATGTTAATAAACTCTCCAGACGTGTTGGAGAAGGGGACATAGAAGTGCCTAAGCGTAGTGAAGCGATGGTTCAATGGTTCCACTCCCAGCCATTAAACCTCAGTTCCAAACTCTGCTCCATCTACAGGGTGGTATGGGCTAATGTATAAAAAGTAACAAAAATTGAACGGTGGGTCCCATTCAAACAATAGTAGTGTGATGAAGTTTGGATTATGATATATATTTGCTAGGAATTGGAGCTGCTACTACACAGATGTTATTCTTGAATACGTAGTAAGCACAATGCTAACAGTCGGAACATCAACTGAAATACATTAGTTTAAGAAACATTTTCAACGACCAGGATTTTTGAATTTTAGGAACCCGTTCTTTAAAATATTTGAAAATGAGAATCAGATTACGAAAGCATTGTCAACGTAGTTCCTTTAAAGCTGTATCACTAACTCTAAGTCATATAAACGAAAGTTTGGCAATGTGTTTTAATCACAGAATATGGAAATGATCGCCAAACTTACATCCCAATAGAAAGAATCTCACGTATATTATGACAAAGCTATTCGTTAGGCATTGTAGATATGAATGGACACAGAATTGAAAGTTGAATTTAGAAAAGAAAACTAACAATAGACCAATATTTAGCAGATTACCCGTTTGTTTAAGTTTGAAAGTCGATCTAGGATGAAGTCACTAACTTCTGGTCTATGTCATGTTGGTAGATGCAAACTACCTGGTTGGGGTCCGCGTGACTATCGTAACCAATGGTTCGAGACTCTGAGTGACATACCTCAGAATCGATCACAATGGTATAGGTGTATACACTCTCTGTCTTTCTTCAAACTGAGATTAAAACCACTTCAAATCTTTCTTTCTACCAACAAGACAACTCTACAGACTAATAAAAGAAACTGGAATTAATAAATCAAGTGTAAGTCAGACCATTTCGGAAAAAGACGACACTCTCATCTGCTCCCAGTCCAGACGCTTAGAACGATGGGCGGAACACTTTAAGGAGCAGTTTAGCTGGCCTTCAGCTACTCTACAACTACCCTCTATTCCCAGACAGTGTGAATGGAACATTGAAGTAGGTCCCCCAACTCTAGCTGAAGTTCAAAAGGCTATAGCTAATCTGAAACGAGGACGGGCAGCTGGTCCAGATGGATTGGCCCCAGAGGTCTTTAAGGATGGTGGTCTAGTCTTAGCGATTAGGTTGACTAATATTTTAGCTAAAATCTGGGAGTTAGACGTTATTCCATCTAACTGGTCACAATCACTTATCGTCCCAATATTTAAGAAAGGGTCAAAATCATCCTGTGACAACCACAGAGGGATTAGTTTGACTAATATAGTATCTAAAATACTAGCTTCGATAATTTTCGGACGCCTAACTAAAACTCGTGAGCTGCAAACACGTGAAAATCAGGCTGGCTTCAGACCTGGTCGTGGCTGCATCGACCACATATTCACCATTCGTCAGGTTCTAGAACACAGGCATACTTATCGGCGTCCGACAATGGTGGTATTCCTTGACTTAAAAGCAGCGTTTGACTCTGTTGACCGAGAGGTTCTGTGGCAGTGTCTGTCATTGAAAGGCGTACCTCAGAAGTACATAAACCTTGTGAAGGCTCTTTACTCGAACACTACTAGTCGGGTCAGAGCCTATGGCGAACTGTCATCTGCTTTTGCAACCTCAAGTGGCGTCCGTCAAGGCTGTCCACTTTCTCCTTTTTTGTTTAACTTTATCATAGACATCCTGATGGAAATAACGCTCTCATCGACTGACTTCTCGGGTATTGATCTCCTACCAGGAGGTCCACTTATTGACTTGGAATACGCAGATGACATAGTCCTGTTTGGTGAAGACGCTGACGAAATGCAGAGTCTTTTGTTAGCACTGAGCAACAATGCCCGATTGTTTGGGATGCGCTTTTCTCCCTCTAAATGCAAGTTGTTGCTTCAGGACTGGTCTGCATCAACACCTGAACTAAGGATAGGGGGTGAAGTAGTCGAACGCGTTGACAACTTCACTTATCTTGGAAGTCTGATCAGCCCTAATGGGTTGGTGTCTGACGAAATCTCAGCACGGATTCGAAAAGCTCGCTTGGCCTTTGCCAACTTACATCATCTATGGCGAAGGCGAGATATTCGTCTATCAATTAAGGGACGAGTATACTGCGCGGCAGTTCGTTCCGTCCTTCTATACGGCTGCGAAACATGGCCTTTAAGAGTGGAAGATATTCGTAAGTTACTAGTATTTGACCACAGGTGCCTTAGAAATATTGCGGGTATCTGCTGGGATCACCGGGTAAGTAATAGTGAGGTTAGACGCAGGGTATTAGGGAATGATGGTAAATCAGTTGATGAGGTTATGAATCTTCATCGACTGAGATGGTTGGGCCACGTGTTGCGTATGCCTGAACACCGATTACCACGACGCGCAATGCTGACTAGTGCAGGGGATAATTGGAAGAAAGTTAGGGGCGGCCAAACCAAAACGTGGCATCAATGCTTGAAGTCACTAACTTCTGGTCTGAGTCATGTTGGGAGATTCAGACTGCCTGGTTGGGGTCCGCGTGACTATCGTAACCAATGGTTGGAGACTCTTGGTGACATGGCTCAGAATCGATCACAATGGCGTCGGTGTATACACTCTCTGTCTTCCTTAAATTAAGAGATTAAAATCGCTTCATATCTGTCTAGGAACTAATTCTTTCGTCCTGTACTATCTCCATATACACAATCTTTCTTCTATATATTACCACCACTGAATTAACTACTCCTATGAATCCGGTGTTCATCTTGTTGTGCTAATGCGGTATGGCAACTTGGACCGATGCATATACGTGCCTGGTCCTACGTTGCAGCTGACTGACTGACTGAACTAATTCTTTCTTCCTGTACTATATCCTTATATACAATCTTTCTTTTATATATTTCCATCACTGAATTAATTGCTTCTATGAATCCGGTGTTCATCTTGTTATGCTAATCCCGTATTTATTTATTTATTTTAACACATAAGTATAGGTACAAGGAGGCACCAAATACATATGCGCCACACAGATCTCATTTGACATGTATGAGGGCTGTGATACAGCCAGGGTGCCCAAACACAACCAGGTGCTTTCCTTAGGGGGCCACACCCCGAGCCTTCGACCTGAACGTCTGATCCACAAGGTAGTGGAGCATAGTAAGGAGATGCAATCCCATGGTAGCCGGTGACCAACGATTGGTTCATACGCCATTTGTTCCCTCAGTCAGGATACTGGAGCCCATGTGCACCATTGGTTTGGGGTCCGGTTAAAGCGCCGGACATTCGCTTTTCGTCCTCTCATTTTTGTAAACAACACCCCCGCAGTGAGTAGGACTTCCTTGGCAGAGGCTGTATACGCATGGCCATGTGAGAGCATTTCTAGAGGGAGAGCGGACTCTCCCCATTTGGGGGCTGTGCTAATCCCGTATGGCAACTTGTACTGATTCATATATGTGCCTGGTCCTATGTTGCAGCTGACTGACTGAGACTACCCATTTAACAAGTTGAACATAGTTGATTGATTGAAAGTATTAAAAATGTTTGTAACTAAGATAGAATAACATCAGAAATAAATAAAAATTCAACATAATCTACCTGCAGTTAATGGAAATAACGCTAAACAATTGCCAGATTCATCGTGAAAATTTACAGCTACAGTTTCCATCCATGCATTATCTGTATTACGTGGATCATCTACATAACCTTTATATATCTATATCAAGATATAACATGAATAAGAGATTCAAAGAAAATCTTGTAAATTATTACTAGTTAAATCTTATTAGAAAAAGGTTTATATCAGAAGTGGATTCTATGGATGGATATTATAGTAATTTTAATAATTAAGATCATAAATCAATTGAAGCTAGACCACCATGAAAAACCTGGAAACACTGGACGGCCATTTTGTCCTATTTTGGGACTCCTTATTAGTGCGCATCCACGATCCCGCCACCCCCTCGAGATTTGAACTCAGGTTTATTGATATGTCCTCATATGAAATGATACAGAAGAGAAAGAAGTAGTATGTTGAAAGGATACATGAAAAATGAGAACTATAGGTTTGTGAAGGATTTTGTTTGAATGAGAGGATTATTTATCTAGACAGATTCATTACCCACATATTCCTGTATGGATTTAGTCTAGTATCGTACATTAATGCATAGCTTGTTTAAATTTATTGTCTAACTTTCGGTCTCTAAGTATTAGGAAGCATTGGACAATCGAATATCAAGTTAATATAAACAATTGTCAGTTGGGAAACAATTGAAAACATCATTAAATTGGAATCCATTCTAGATGTTTATAGTTGAATGGGCATTATCATCAAATCGAATTTGATCACATATAATATAGAACGTTGCATAAATTTGCATAGAAGAAGTTGAATGAATGGTAACAATTTAGAACCATGTTATCACCTAACTCATCTAACCAAAGATTACGATTAAAGTTCAGGTAATAACAATCAGGAAGTTGAACTATATCCTCACACATAAAAACAGTTATGTTTTTTTTTTCACTGACACCTAAATGCTCTGGTACGGCCGAGAGTGAGGAGAATCCGCTCTCCCTTTCCAAATGCTCTCACATGGCCATGCGTATATAGCCTCTGCCTCTGCGTGTTCAGCCTCTGTCAGGGAAGTCCTACTCACTGCTGTTGTTTACGAAAATGAGAGGACGAAAAGCGAATGTCCGGAGCTTTAACCACATCCCAAACCAATGGTGCACATGGGCTCCAGTATCCTGTCTGAGGGAACAAATGACGTATGAATCAATCGTTGGTCACCGGCTACCATGGGATTGCATCTCTTTACGATGCTCCACTGCCTTGTGGGTCAGACGTTCAGGTCGAAGGCTCGGGATATGGCCCCCCTAAGACAACCACCTGTTTCGGTTTGGACACCCGGGCAGTATCACAGCCCTCACACATATCAAATGAGATCTGTGTGGTGCATATGAATTCGGTGCCTCCTTGTACCAATATCTATGTGTTAAAGTAAAATAATAAGAATTAGCTTAGGCAAACAATTTTCATCCGGTATAACCAAATTAGTACACTAGAATAAACGACTAGGTCATCTTACTTTATTTCTTAACATACTATAAATACTAAATCTTAATATATGCAAAATTAAGATATTTGCTTAACAATTTTTACAACTAATGAACTTATAACTTAACTAAGATCAATTAGTCTATAATTAACTTGAAAATAACTTCATTTACAGTCAGTCAGTAAGTTACAACGTGGGACCAGGCACATATATGTATCGGTTCAAGTTGCTATATATCTTATTAAAACAAAAAGATCAACAGCAAATTCATAGATATAGTTAAATCAATGGTGGTAATATATAAAAGGAAGATTACATCTTACAAGAAGAAAGAATTCGTACTCAGGAATAAAGATATGAAGCAATTTCCATCTCTCAATCTCTTGGTGTCGCTGTCAACCAGGAGAGGGGGAGGGTGCTGTTCTGTGGACGCCGTTGCGTGCCCGGAGCTGAGGTGCTAGTTGGTGCAGTCTGGTGGAGTGTTATGGCGGGGCGGTGTTCGCTGTAGCAGGTGCTGTCGACGGAGAGGAGCGGCGGGACGTGCGGCTGCTGGGCGGATATCGGATGTAGATGGCTCAGCAGGTCGGTGGAGCACGGGTGTCAGACGTTCCAGGTGCCGGGTGGAGGTCGGATGTTGGTTTCTCGGCAGGTCGACGGAGCTATGTAGGTCAGCGCGCCACAGACTTGACATTTTGACGGAGGGCGTAGCACAGACTGCATAAAAGAAGAATGTTGTACGGCGAGCATGAACCACCGCAAGAACGACAGCTTTAAAGGGCGGACGAGTGTGGTGTGTGCTACTTATGTAGACATAAGTAGTATATGACGTGAGTCGTGAACAGAATGTTTGGCAGCAGTGAGACAAGAAGATCAAACAGTAAAGAATGAAGACAGAACGCAATTTGTATGAAAATGCAAGAACAAAGGAAGTCTCAGTCTCTTGAGACAATTGATGGACATTTTGCAAATTGAGCATTTACTATATGGTTGTTAGATTTTACTAATTAGTTCTGTAATTTTGTGTGTCAAATACATTCGATTATCCCCACCCGTGTTCTGTTCACTAAGTCATTGCGATCAATTCTGAGCCATGTCACCAAGAGTCTCCAATCACTGGTTACGATAGTCACACGGACCCCAACCAAGTAGTCTGCATCAACCAACATGGCTCAGACTAAAAGTTATTGACTTCAAGCACTGATGCCACGTTATGGTTTGACCGTCGCTAACTTTCTTCCAATGATCCCTAACACTGGTTAGCATTGTGCAGGCGGGATCGTGGATACACACTGCCACTAAGGAGTCACACAATAGGATGAAACGGTCATTCAGTACTTCCAGATGTTTTCATAATGATCTAGCTTCAATGGACTCATGATATTAACTATTAAAAAATTTACTATAATATCCATCCATAGAATACCTTAACTGATATTAAAACTCTCTTGAAAATTTTATAAAAACAACATAGAAAACAACTAATCAATATGAAAAACAAACAAACAAACAAACACACACACAACTATCAACTATTTGAAAAAAATTCAGTTTACTCATAGTTCATAATTAACTCTATTTATCTAAATAGAAAGAACAATGTATCTCTCTCTCTGTCTCTCCCTCCCTCTCTCTCTCTCTCTTACTCTATGATATAGATTAGTATATATTGTAATAGCTATTATTATTATTATTATTATTAATACAAAAAGTACAATGAAATACCAGAAGAAAATAAAAAAATGAAAAAAATTTTTTTTTAGTTTTGACAAAAAAAAACTTTAAAAAAATTTAATTCATTTAGTTACTATGCAGATTTCTTTATGAATGTACTTTTATTTTAATAAATATTATGTGTATTTATTTTTTTAAGAAGTAATAATTTGAATGAAAATTCTCTATTATTACTTTATTTTTAGAAGAGGTTTTGTGGAGATTTTGAATAATTTCAATAGTTGAAATGATGAATTAATTGAAGCTAGATTACCATGGAAAACCTGAAAGCAATGGATAGCCGTTTCGTCCTAGTATGGGACTCCTCAGCAATGCTCATCCACGATCCCATCATCCCCGTGAGATTCAAACCCGGAACCTATAAGTCTCGCGCTAGGAGCTTAATCAACAAGACCACTGAGCCAGCATCCAACGGTGTTAATGTATAACATCAGTGCTTCCACGTTTTTCATGGTGGTCTAGCTTTAATTGACTCATGATTTCAACTATTGATATTACTTTATTTGGTAGTTTATCAATTAAATTTATATTATCAGTTTAGGGGTTATGGAGATTGTTAAGATTTCGATTGAAATCATGAACCGATTGATGTTAAACCATCATTGAAAATCTGGAAGCACTGGACGGCTGTTTCGTCCTATTACCATGTGCTCATTAGTGGACTAACTTCGTGAGAAAATTCTCGGAGTTCTAGTGAGAAGCCGTGACCAGTGGAGCTAATTCGTGTCGGGTAGAGACAGGTATCTAACTCAGTACAATGGAAGATAGTCGCGCAATTTCGTGGATTGGTTGAGGTTAGACATTAAAACCACTGGATGCAGGCTCAGTTGTCTAGTTGTTTAAGCGTTCGCGCGTGAGACTGAAGGCCCTTGGTTAGAATCCCACGATTGGGATCGTGGATGCGGATTGCTGAGGAGTCCTACAATAGGACGAGACGGTCGTCCAGTGCTTCCAGGTTTTCAATGGTGGTCTAACATCAATAGGTTCATGATCTCAGTCAAAATTTATATTAATCAGTATGAAGATTCGTAGAGACGACAGTAATTTAATAGTTGAATTCACCAGTCGATTTAAACTAGATCATCATGGAATACTCGGAAGCAATGGATGGCCGTTTCATCATAGTATGGGACTCCTTAGTAGTGCACATCCAAAACCACACACGCGAGATTCCAACCCAGGATCTTCAATCTTGCGCGCGAATGTTTTAACGGTGGTCTTGTTTAGATCGATTCATGAATTCAACTGTTATAATAATACACTCTCCAAAAATCCCCATACTGATAATAATCATTTGCTCATTAGTGACTAGCTTCAAGATGAATTTCCTGGAGTTCTAGTGAGAAGTCGTAACTAATGGAATCTAATTTGTGTCGGGTGTGAGAAACTTATCCACCTTAGATAATAAATGAAGTTAGACATTAACACTGTTGGATACCGGCTCAATAGTTTAGAGGTTAGTGGACGAGACCGAAAGTCCTGGGTTTGAGTACCACATGTGAGATCATGGATGTGTATTGTTAAGGAGTACTGTACTAGGACGCAGCTACCATTCAGTGCTTCCATGTTTTACTAATGGTGATCTAGCTTAGATTAACCTCATGAATTAAACTGTTAAATGTTAAATTTATATAAGACAAAAAGGTGATTATTAAAAGTATGTTTTATTGATGAGTTAAGTCAGATAATAATTATAGGTTATGAATTTTCGAAGATAATTCTTGAAGGTTCTTGATATTTCGAAAGAACAACTAGGAACTTCAGTTTTTACGTAATACGTTACTTATTCATATCAAGTGCATGTTGATTAATTAAAAATGACTTTACTCTGACATGGTCATTTTAAAAGTTGTTAAAGGTCTGTCTATCAGTGAGGTATGTTTTTACCAGGTAGTTCACATCAACTAATGAATTACTGATAATTATGCCATATCAGATGTTTGTTATAGCCTTGTGTTTAGGACTTCTTAGTAGTGTGGATTTATGAATTAATACAGGAGATTGGGCAGAATATCCTCACGTTTAGTCGGTAGACGATGATATATCAACATCATTGAGCCAGAATTTCTAACAGTTTATATATTTCTAACTTAAGTTAATCCATATAATTTACAGCAACAAAACCCCCAAATGCCCTGGTACGGCCGAGAGTGAGGAGAATCCGCTCTCCCTCTCGAAATCCTCTCACATGGCCATGAGTATACAGCCTCTGCCAAGGAAGTCCTACTCACTGCCTTCACGTGGCACTACTGTTGTTTACAAAAATGAGAGGACGAAAAGCGAATATCTGGCGCTTTAACCACATCCCAAACCAATGGTGCACATGGGCTCCAGTATCCTGCCTGAGAGAACAAATGGCGTATGAACCAATCGTTGGTCACCGGCTACCATGGGATTGAATCTCCTTACGATGCTCCACTACCTTGTGGATAAGATCTTCAGGTCGAAGGCTCGGGGTGTGGCCCCCTAAGAAAACCACCTGCTTCGTTTTGGGTACTCGGGCAGTATCACAGCCCTCACACATGTCAAATGAGATCTGTGTGACGCATATGTATTTGGTGCCTCCTTGTACCAATATCTGTGTGTTCAAATAAATAAATAAACATCAACGATGGACATGGATACATATTTCTACATATCACTTATCGTAAACAATAATCATACGTTTACTAGTAACCAACTAATAGGGATTGGTTCACCGAATTTCTGACGAAAGCTATTGTCCGGTGCAATTCTTTGTTGGATTAGGATAGTTATCATCAATAACATCAAATGAACATTGAGTACTAAAGTGAATTTGACTATGAGGGCTAGTGATAATACTTGGTTGTTCAGATATATGTAGGTAAAGAGGGATTCAAATCTAGAACCTAATTAAGCGAAAGTAGGGTGAGCCTTAAGGACTAAACCTTAGTTGTATACATTCTCGTTTATCTCTACCATGAGGTTGTGAGCGTGGAGTGTTCTGCAGTCCACACAACTTTCACATCTTGTCGTGCGAAGACAACACTTTTACAGACTGACAAGTCACCTTTTTTAAACTTTATTCAATCTGTCGTACACTGCAAGTATCATTAAATGTGTTATGAATGACAACTGTCACATTTCTGAATGAACAACATTACTGAACTACAGAGAACCATTGTAATCAAGTGATGAACAGTCGTCCATTTATTTATTTATGGGATTAACTAACACATCACAATCTACAAAATTGAAGAAATATATTAAACAATTAAATAAACTGGGTAGCTTTTAAGAGAAAAGTACCTACATAACTCTTTTCTCCGGGTCAATACTTACTTCAACTCCATGATGAAAAGCATCATCAACACGTTTTACAATTGCTTCTAATTCTTTTGGTGAAGCTGTTGTAGAATTTAATGCTTCTTCAGAAAATTCTCTTTTTAACGTAGAAGTATAATTTTCACCAGCATCTACCATACCCTTAAATACAACAATAAAATATAATTCTTAATAAGACAATAAAGTAGTTAGAGTGAATATTAGATTTGTATATGCTTATATTATTAAATAAGTGATTGAACAATCCTGACATTAGGGGTATAGTGACAAGGAAATATAGCAAAGTGTTTAGTTCAAAGGTGAACATTTATTGACTGAAATGGTTAGGATATTTCGTCTACGCTGACATGATTAATTCATTAATAAAGCATAAATTAACGTGGTTCGATTAAGCTACACTCTAAATGTTCGAGTTAATGATACTTATTCAGCTGTCCAAACCAAAGTAGATAGAGTGTGGTTAGAACCTATGACTTTATGGCCATAGTTTGAAAGCCTTAACTACTGAATAGTATAGCTTGATTCTGTGACAGCCCCCAAATGCCCTGGTAAGGCCAAGAGTGGGGAGAGTCCGCTCTCCATCTCCAAATGCTCTCAAATGGCCACGCGTAAACAGCCTCTGTCAGGGAAGTCCTACTCACTGCATTCTCGTGGAGGGGGTGGTGTTTACCAAAATGAGAGGACGAAAAGCGAATGTCCGGAGCTTTAACCGGACCCCAAACCAATGGTGCACATGGGCTCCAGTATCCTGACTGAGAGAACAAATGGCGTATGAACCAATCGTTGGTCACCGGCTACCATGGGACTGCATCTCCTTACGATGCTCCACTGCCTTGTGGATCAGACGTTCAGGTCGAAGGCTCGGGGTGTGGCCCCCTAAGGAAAGCACCTGGTTCGGTTTATGCACCCTGGCTGTATCACAGCCCTCATACATGTCAAATGAGATCTGTGTGGCTCATATGTATTTGGTGCCTCCTTGTACCGATATCTGTGACACAGCCGCATAGATGATATAAGAACTCCAGACTTCCTTAGACACAATTTCAAATCTTTTAATTTATTTCATTTCAATTCTCACGATCATAAGGTTTAACCTATTTATAAGCCATCAAGCTTACATCTTTAAAGGGATCATTCTCTATGACATTCCTGTTTTTTTTTCCGAAATATTTTAAATAGACCGAGTCGCAGACATTAATCTTAGAAATACCTGCTAGGTTACGTAATAAATCATTCTAATACTTGAAGATAGTAATCAGTCAGTCAGCTACAATGTAGGACCAGGCACATATATGCATCGGTCCAAGTTGCCATACCTCATTAGCACCGCAAGATGAACACCGGGTTCATAGGAGTGGTTAAGTCAATGGTGATAATATATAAGAGAAAGATATGAAGCGATTTTAATCCCTTAGTTTAAAGGAAGACAAAGAGTGTAATCATAGTAATCTTTATTTATTTATTTGAACACATAAATATTAGTACAAGAGGGCAGCAAATATATATGCGCCACACAAAATTTTATTTGTGTGTGGGCTGTGATTATTATATTATTTATTTATTTTAACACAGGTATTGGTACAAAGAGGAACCAAATACATATGCGTCACACAAATCTCATTGGATATGTGTGAGGGCTGTGATACTGACCGGGTGACCAAACCGAAGCAGATGGTTTTCTTAGGGGGCCACACCCCGAGCCTCCGACCTGAATGCATGACCCACAAGGCAGTGGAGCATCGTAAGGAGATGCAATCCCATGGTAGCCGGTCACCAACGATTGGTTCATACGCCATTTGTTCCCTCAGGCAGAATACTGGAGCCCATGTGCACCATTGGTTTGGGATGTGGTTAAAGCTCCGGATATTCGCTTTTCGTCCTCTCATTTTCGTAAACAACACCCGTGGTGTGAGAAGGCAGTGAGTAGGACTTTTCTGGCAGAGGCTGTATACGCATGGCCGCGTGAGAGCATTTCGAGAGGAAGGGCGGGGCCGCCCTACTCTCGGCCATACCAGAGCATTTGGGGGCAATCATTGTAATCATTATAACATTAATGGGAGTCTTCTATAATACCTCAGGAAACCCAGAGAAATTGTTGGCAACACTCCAACCAATCAGAATCCTTTGAAAAATTCCTAAAGGAATTTTAGAAAATAAGTAATTGAATATTTTTCAATGTCCTGATTGGATGATACCTAAATTGGTAGTATGTTTTGACTTCTATGGACAATATTCTGTTGTTTGTTTTGATTGGAATTTGAAGTAAATAAACAACTTTGAATAAATAAAGAATTCACGTTTAATTTTTACGGAAGTGAAGTTGTTATTACCACAATATTGAATGGGAATGATTGATCAGTAATGATAGAGAAATGTAGAGGGTTTTTGTTAACCTGATACAGGTCGACCTCCGTTAACAGGAGTATTTGATACTCCATGTGTGCAATTGATGAATGTTTATCTTATAGCTCTCTATGAAGTGTCCTTCTGGATGTGAATATAAAATCAGAGAATGAGAGAGCAACTATTATTGGGTCCAGAATAGTCTACAATAAAGCGTAACGTTTTTGTCTAGTTCTGTGCTATCAGGTTTACTATGGCAGTCTAACCTAGAGCGGTTCATGATTCTAATCAAATTCAACAATCTCCACAACCTCAAACTGAATGTATTTCAGTCGGTCAGTCAGTCAACAGCGCAGAACTTCGTACATCAGTTCGAGTTGCCATACCACATTAGCAAAGAGGTGCAGTTGTCCATTCAAATCCTATAGTGGTAGACGTAGTAAAAGTATAAGCAGTAATCGGAAAGATTAGGGTTTGGAGATGCTATTCAAAGAGTATAGTCCAGTGAAATAGATTTAGAAAGAGAAAAAATAGGTAAACATGAAGAATTCAGAAGATTAGAATTTGGGAAAAGACAAAGAGTGGATGCAACTGCACACACTATTGCAAACGATTTTGAGCCATGTTATTCAAGGTCTCTAACCATCGGTTGTCCGTAAACAGTACAAGAGATCAAGTTGATCAGAATCAAATCCTTCCTACATTTAATATATCAAATTTTTCTATAAATTCTCTAAAGAAATCAATAGGGATCATATTAGAATGTGATGATTACGTAATGAAACAATTTTCTTTTTGAACAAAACGGGAAAATATGCAGATTACAAGGTAAGCCTACTTATGGTATAGAAATTGGGGAACTATATGGAGTTATTAAGAATTCACATGACCGTAATATTTACTATATTTCAATAACTGAGATCATGAGTCAATTGAAGCTAGACCATCATGGAAAACCTGGAAGCACTGGACGGCCGTTTCGCGCTATTGCGGGACTCCTCAGCAGTACACATCCACGACCCCGCCTCGCGTGATTCGAACCTAGGACTTATCAGTCTCGCACCAGGCGCTTAACCAACTAGACCACTGAGCCGGCATCCAATGGTGTTAATGTCTAACTACAACTAATCGACGAAATTGAGCGACACACCCACCATTGACATCAGTGAGTTACTATCTAACAAATGCCCCTTTGAACTCCACTAGTCACTGCTTGTCACTAGAACTCCAGGATATATCTCTTGAAGTCAGTCACTAGTGAGCGTATGTTGATTAGAATCTCATTCTCTCCTGGCGCGAGACTGATAGGTCCTGGGTTCGAATCCTGCGAGGCGGGGTCGTGGATGCGCACTGCTGAGTCCCACAATCGGGCGAAACGACCGTTAAGTGCTTCTAGGTTTTCCATGGTGGTCTAGCTTCAATTGACTCATGATCTCAATTATTGAAATTACTACGATCTCCACGAAACCCCTTCTGATTAACTATATTATTTATGAAAAAGGGTAGTATTTAAGTAATAATGATACGCTTCTTTCCACAAAGGAGTAATCAATAAACTAGTATTAAGCAATAAGATAAGAAAGTGTAGACGTCAATGAATCATTCGAAGAGAAGTACGGACCCATTATCCAATACATAGTTTATCTAATCAATACGAGACAAACCAACATTGGGATCGAGGAAATATATACCGGGTCTACTTATGGAGATACAATGGACGGTCAACCTTCTATATTGATGAAAACATCGAATACATAATGTTACTTATGCTTTATTATTTAGATAAGTGATAAACTAAATATTGAGAAATTCTTTATGTACACAACTTGGGTAGAGCGTTAAAACAACTAGACGACTGAAGAACATGAGTTCTAAGAACTTCCTAGGATATTCTGAATAATGAAAAAGAAGACAGGACAACTATATCACCATAGATAAAAGGTGACATTTGGAAGATGACGAGTTAGGTGTATTCTAAATTTCAAAAAACAAATGATTGTTTGACTTACTCCAGGGATGGCCCATTGACCAGAATCTTTTCGACGAATAGAAACAAATTGAAGAATTGGACGTCCAGTAGTTTTATTTAAACATCGACTACCTGAATTGTCAATCTTCCACCTGTTTAAATTATTTTGTTTCCATGGAAAAAAAAAGAAAATATTTATCACCCCGAAGATAATTAACAATATTGTGATTGTAATAATTACCTCAGAAAAAAAACTTCATCATCAACTAAATAACTGAGGATTTTGTTTTTATGAGTAAACAATAAGTTTTTTGATTGAGATCATGAACCGATTGATGTTAGATCACTATTGAGAACCTGGAAGCACTGAATGGACATTTCGCCCTATTGAGGGAGAGTCCTCATAGTGTTTCCAGGTTTTCAATGGTAGTCTAACATCAATCGGTTTATGATCTCGATGAAAAACTTATTAATCTCCACAACCCTAAACTGATAGTATTTATTTATTTATTTATTTTAACACATAAGTATAGGTACAGGGAGGCACCAAATACATATGCGCCACACAAATCTCAATTGATTCGTGTGAGGGCTGTGATATTGACCGGGTGCCCAAACACAACCAGGTGCTTTCCTTAGGGGGCCACACCCCGAGCCTTTGACCTGAACGTCTGACCCACAAGGCAGTGGAGCATCGTAAGGAGATGCAATCCCATGGTAGCCGGTCACCAACGATTGGTTCATACGCCATTTGTTCCCTCAGTCAGGATACTGGAGCCCATGTGCACCATTGGTTTGGGGTCCGGTTAAAGCTCCGGACATTCGCTTTTCGTCCTTTCATTTTGGTAAACACCACCCCCGCCACGAGAATGCAGTGAGTAGGACTTCCCTGACAGAGGCTGTTTACGCGTGGCCATTTGAGAGCATTTGGAGAGGGAGAGCGGACTCTCCCCACTCTCGGCCGTACCAGGGCATTTGGGGGTATACCAGGGCATTTGGTCTCATGAAGCAGTGTAGAATAAACATATGATAGAGTTAGTCAACCATAGACAACATACGACTTGGGGAAAAAGATAGTTGGTGTCGTTAAACAAATAACAGTAATAGTACATTATTTGCAGTGGGAAACTAAAAATATGAAATATAGTTTAGAATGGAACATGTATAGTTGAATAGAATGGAATATATATTCAGACTAAGATTTAAGAGAAGGATAAAGAATAAATGAAATTACTTCATTATTCGAAACTTCGAATCATATAATTCACTGAGAGGTACTTCAAAAGTTACAGGGTTAGACTTTCAGCTATTAAGTTCTAGGTCAAAACTCTTCTATTTCACTGATTTTGGTATGAACAATTGGATAGTATTACTAACCTTTACATTTAGAATATGGGTTAAAATCTAGTAAATACAACAACCTATATCTTGTAGATGATTTAATGAAAAAGAACAACAAATTGTCATTATAGTATACACTCCAACCAACTGTCACAACTACATTTATTTCTTACTTACTTACTTACGCATAGGCCACCGATCAGCATTCTCCGACCCACTCTGTCCTGGACCTTCTTTTCTAGTTCCATACAATTCTTGTTCATTTTTCTCATATCTATCTCCATTTCCCGACGTAATGTGTTCTTTGGTCTTCCTCTCCTCTTTCGGCCTTGAGGATTTCATGTGAGGGCTTGTCTTGTGACGCAGTTCGATGCTTTCGTCAAAGTGTGTTCTATCCACTTCCAGCGATTCTTCCTCCGCTGGGATCTGGTTTGTTCTCTCCCATAGTAGGTTGTTGCTAATAGTGTCCGGCAAACGGATCCGAAGTATTCTGCGTAGACAACTGTTAATAAACACCTGTATCTTTTGGATAATGGCTTTCGTAGTTTTCCAGGTTTCGGCCCCATACAGTAGAACTGTCTTAACATTTGTATTGAAAATTCTGACTGTGGTGTTGGTTGACTGACAGTTGTTTTGAGTTTCAGATGTTCTTCAGTTGTAGATACGCTGCTCTTGTTTTTCCGATCCGTGCCTCCACATCTGCATCAGATCCACCGTGTTCATCAATGCATTTATTATTATTATTCCACAACATAAGAGGTTCACTTATACTGTAGTCAGCATTTTGAGTTCAATACCATAATTTGACTATTGAATTTACTTTTAGAATACATACAACTCACTCACTATACTGGAAGATCTGATAGATTTTAATTGATTATTCTAATAAAGGTGAGCTCCAATTGAAGACAAAATTTGGGTTACTAAAGGTTTAAATTTATACATTGGATAATAGTATCAAAATATGCTGTTTGAAGACATTATAAGATCACCTAAAATTGACGAACGGAAGAAGGATCAGAGACACAACAAGATAAGCTAAACTATTCCCATGCGTCCCCAACCCCGCTAACTAGAGAGAAAAGTCCAGGTTCAGTATATTCCACAAGCAGTCAGAAGCGTGAACAAGCAAGCACACAACTGAAGCATATATAACAGAATAAAAAGGTCCTTTGCAAACGTCACAAATAGTGTATTAAGAGAGGGAACGAACCAATAATATTTAGGGTACTCCTAAGTGGGAAATACAATCTGGAGGTTAAAAAAATGGGTGCTGTTGGCGCGAAAACGAGAAATTCAAATTTCCAAAAAATAAGACGTTCATCAAGTGATTTCCAGGAATCTAACATTCAGGTACAGGTATTTATAAATAGCTGTCTACGCAAGATACTCAACATCCATTGGCCGGATACCATCAGCAACAGTCTTTTGTGGGAGAGAACCAACCAGCTTCCAGCTGAAGAGGAAATTAGGAAAAGACGATGGAAATGGATAGGACATACATTGAGGAAATCATCAAACTGCATTACGAGGCAAGCGCTAACTTGAAATCCTGAAGAGAGGCGGAAAAGAGGAAGGCCAAACAACACATTACTTCAGGGATTAGAAGCACATATGAAAAGGATGAATAACAACTGGAAAGAGCTGGAAAGGATTGTCCAGGACAGGGTTGAATGAAGAATGCTGGTAAGTGGCCTATGCTCCTTCATGAGGAGTAACAGGCGAAAGTAAAGTAAGTAAGTAACATTCCTAACAAAATGATTACATTAATTTACTTTCATTTTTCTATTGTATTCTTTTCAACTACCATTTGTACTTCAATTTATATATACTATTCACTATTGAATTAATGAACTAAATTATCATATAATGATAAATGATTAAAACAGAAACTTAAAGTAAAAAGAAGAATGAATTAATTAAAAGTTCAATAGTTAAAAATCAATATGATCTGTTACCATTGTTTGATATTCTTCAAAGGAATTGTCTCAGTAAGAATAATTCATGATCATACGTTAATATCATATGTATGGTCTTTGGTCTTGATTTATGATATTTTGTGATCTAGATAATGATCATCATTTAGTTAGTTTACAATAGATAATTAATCAGAATAGTAGGTAAAATACTTGTCTATCAACTATAGTACTATATCAACTAATGATAGGGAATGAAGTAGTTGAGCATGTCAACTGCTTCACTTATTGGAATTTGTGGTCTGGTGTGTGGTGAAATTTCAGCATAGATAGAGAAGGAACGACTAGCTTTTGCCAACTTGCGTCATTTGTGGCGTAGGTGAGATATCCGTCTACAAACCGATGGACGGGTTTACTGCGCAGCAGTTTATTCCGTCCTACTTTATGGCAGTGAAACATGGCCGACAAGAGTAGAGGATATTCGTAGGTTACTAGTATTCGATCATAAGTGTCTTCGAAGCATTGCTTTTGTATATCCTGGGACCACCGAGTAAGTAACTCAGTTGTTAGGAAACGGGTACTAGGCAAGGATGGCAAATCAATCGATGAAATAGTGAAACTTCATCAGTTAAGATGGATAGGACACATGTTACGTATGCCCAATCACCGACTGCCCTGACGAGCGATGTCTTATGATGTTTGAGTAAATTAGAAGAAAGCTAGGGGCGGTCAGACCTAAACATGGCACAATTCCATGAAGTCACTGACAAATGGACTGAGCCATGTTGGTAGGTGTAAACTGCCTAGTTGGGATCTGAGAGATGATAGCAACCGATGGTTAGAGATCTTGAATAACATGGCTCAAAATCGTTTGCAATGGTGTGTGCAGTTGCATCCACTCTTTGTCTTTTCCCAAATTCTGATCTTCTGAATTCTTCATATCCCCCTATTTTTTCTCTTTCTAAATCTATTTCACTGGACTATACTCTTTGAATAGCATCTCCAAACCCTAATCTTTCCGATTACTGCTTATACTTTTACTACGTCTACCACTACAGGATTTGAATGGACAACTGCACCTCTTTGCTAATGTGGTATGGCAACTCGAACTGGCGTACGTACGTACGAAGTTATACGTTGTTACTAACTGACTGACTGCCTATCAACTGTTAGGTGGTTTTTTCGAATCCCTAATATGATTTAACCAGTCGGTTGATATTGTTCACCTCTAACATACAATCAATAGTTTATAGTTATATTTTGAAAACGAGTAACAATCATCAAATTTATGTATACCGTGTTACAATAGGATCAGCAGCATGATTAGGACCCCAACGACCAAGAACACCACGTCCAGTAATTCCTGTACGTCCACAAGGATTCAATGGTAATCCATCAGTACTGAATTTGTATTGACCCATAAAACTTGTTCTATCAAGTATCCCATCAATTTTATTAAACTGAATAGCTTTATATTTTTGATCACTAACAATAAAAAAAGAAGAATTTTAGGTATACAAATGACAGTTATTTTGAGAGAGTTGTTTTACATTTTAACTCTGCCTGGAGTCCCTTTGGGGCTACTGCCAGTCCCGAGCCCGGATAAAGGAGGAGGGTTGGGCATGGGGTTAGTGACCCTATCCCGTAGAAAACTAACTCGCTAAAAAAACGCTGACCAGAAAAGATAATTCATACCGTCTAAACTCTGCCCTGGGAGTTAGGTCTTCCTTCAGAAGGGTTATGACGCCTCATGGTGAAAGCCGAGTTCCGTCGGAATTCACTAGGCTGATGCCCCTTCTGAAAACCAGAACAACTATTTATTTAAGCACATAGAATGCTTGTACAATGTGGGAGACCAGGAGAGTCTTTCAAATTGCTATTGCTGTTCTACATTTTACAGAACGTACAATATAAGTTTAGTCGATCTTCAGATCATCTTTTTAAATGGATTTCATTTGATTGTTCTAACAGATTATTAATAAAATACACATAAGTTAACACGGTAAACGAAAAAACAAACAAACAATATTGTTGAAAGCAAACCATAGCACAAATTTATCCGTTTTAATCCGGATACATACTACATAAAATATATATACTGTTATGTTCTTAGCTATACGATTGCCAATTTTAGATACACTGACTTATACGACTAAACTGATGATGCATACACCAGAACGATCAGCTTAGAGTTTCGATCAGTCTTTTTTTCTGCCTAGCCCTATCTGTTAAGTCCAGAACACTAATAACAGCCTCCGTGATACGAATCATATATTTCAAACATACTGGGTTTATATATAAACGAACCAGACCATATCGCACCATAGAGTAGAAAATAATATTTGTACAAGATCTAACCAGATATGATTATGATTGTGAGAAGCTGTTACTAATAAATTGGGAATAAAAGCTTATAATGAAGGGAATATGAATTCATATATAATACAGTCACTTAGTAATCACACAAGAATATACGTATCATATTAGTCCACAAGTAATTCCCAACGGTTACCATTCATTTATTCTTGTCCGGATATAATATATACCATTTAATGATTACATTATAGTTGAGTCAATAAGTCTCATTGTTCAGTACTTAAAACTGTCCAACTTTAAACAGATTGCAACAGAGTAAAAGTTGAACTTTATTGGCTCAGCTTAAGTTTTAGTTAATCTTATTTACGAATCTCACCGTAATCATAAATGAATTTAAAATCAGTTGTTAAAATAATACAGTTTGATGACAAATGATTTTTCTCTTATGATCGGAATAAAATTGTTTGATCTCTTTCTTTCTAAGAAGGTTAGAATAAATTCCTGTATACAAAAACTACGAGAAAGAGGTAAAGATGAATCACCTTGATATTCTAAAAGAAATGATCTACATTTACTAACACAATAGATACCCTATGATTGCCCCTAAATACCCTGGTATGGCCGAGAGTGGGGTGGGTTCACCCTCCCTCTCGAAATACTCTCACACGGCCACGCGTAAACAGCCTCTTCCAGGGAAGTATTACTCACTGCCTTCTCATGGCACTACTGTTGTTTACGAAAATGAGAGGACGAAAAGCGAATGTCCGGAGCTTTAACCACATCCCAAACCAATGGTGCACATGGGCTCCAGTATCCTGCCTGAGGGAACAAATGGCGTATGAACCATTCGTTGGTCACCGGCTACCATGGGATTGCATCTCCTCACGACGCCTCACTGCCTAGTAGGTTAGACCTTTAGGTCGAAGGCTCGGGGTGTGGCCCCCTAATAAAACCACCTGCTTCGGTCTGGGCACCCGTGCAGTATCTCAGCTTACACAGAAATATAATGATAATGAAAATGACCCTATGATTGGTTGTTGATTATTGTGTATTTGTGATTCCCTGGAGTAAAAATTTGACTTGGAATGATAAAACTGAAGGTGTTGAAATCCACTCTACCAATTACTACATTCTTAACTGTCAGAAAGTTAACGTAACTCGATAAACAGGCAGTATCACAGCCTTCATATAACAGTATAGCTCAAAGTTCGCTAGATTGACATGTACTTATTTTTTTTTACCAGGTTTTATTCATAGTAAATAAGAAGTAAATTTGAGTAGTATTGTTAATTTTTGATTTGCAAACTAGTTTATAATGCTATTTGTCAGTAGCCATTGTGATTTCAGTTAGTGACAATCAATATATAGCATGAAGCAAATGTGCATTATAGTAGTCGTAATAACGACAGATTTAATCAACATTGTCAGTTTTGCAACAATAAAGAATTCATAACATCAACTGTGAAGGATTACAACAAATTTCAGTTTAACATGAATTCTAATTACAATGATTTAAAAATATATTTTATAAACGTTTCTATCAGTTAGAATTTGCTACTCATATTCAATCATGAAGGCCATTTAACAGATCAGCAGGTACGACTAATTGTTACGACCTACAATACATAACATGGATGAATACTCATCTGCTCGACTCTTGGTTTTTCAAAGGATAAACAAAGGACAAAATATGTAGATATGTTTGGTTTGAGTTTTCTGGTATTTAGCAGTGCAATGATTTGTAAGTCTTTCATAATAACACATGAATACATATTGTTAGTATTTATAACTATTCATTTCAATCTAAAACAGGATAGTTGGAAAACACATAGCTGAAACGGCTGATCAGACCCTCAACTATGAAGCAGTTTGATTTGTGATATCACAACAGTATAGCAAGATCAAGGTAACAAGCTTAATAAAAAAAATTTGAAATAATACTAGTTTCAATAGTGAAAAAGACTAATGGGTAGAAGATATAGTCAAGTAATAGTGGATGAATTCGAGAAACAATACTTAGATAAATAATAATATCGAAAATATATTTCCAAAAATAATACTCAACTGATTATCCGGATCAGCCCATGGCTTTTTAGATATTCCTGGTGCTGTGTATGCTACCGGATGATATTCAGCCCAAGATATATTCCAACTGACTTTATCATCCGGAACAGGATACCTTTGTATGTCGGAAGTGCGAGGGTATGGAGAATTTCTACATTTCACATGCAAATTGGACACAGTTACAGATGCCATTTTTGAAATTTCGACAATCTGAAAAACAAATCTATATAAGAAAAACACTGATAGTTTGAAGAACCAACCACTTCCCAGTTACAATAATATTGTGTATAAAGCAGAAAAACTAAATTCGTTAAAAGCAACAGACAGCATATCATAATTTAAAAAATCAGTTTGCACCTATAAACAACGAAAAAACGTGACAAGTTTAAAAGTAATGTAAAATTAGCTTATTAGGAACTTAGAAGCAACCATATTAATGAAACTTTTGATTGTAAAAAGCTTGCTTACAGGTGCTACCTTGATGGAAATTTAGATAGAAATTCATTTATAGTTATAATGCTTAGGAAAACTTGTAGATCTAATTATGTGTAGATTTGGTTACTGATTTTATTTTATTTATTTATTTTAACACATACGTATAGGTACAAGGAGGCACCAAGTACATATGCGCCACACGAATCTCAATTGATTTGTGTGAGGGCTGTGATACTGCCCGGATGCCCAGACCGAAGCAGATGGTTTTCTTAGGGGGCCACACTCCAAACCTTCGACCTGAACGTCTGATCCACAAGGCAGTGGAGCATCGTAAGGAGATGCAATCCCATGGTAGCCGGTCACCAACGATTGGTTCATACGCCATTTGTTCCCTCAGGCAGGATACTGGAGCCCATGTGCATCATTGGTTTGGGATGTGGTTAAAGCTCCGGACATTCGCTTTTCGTCCTCTCATTTTCGTAAACAACAGTAGTGCCACGAGAATGCAGTGAGTAGGACTTTTCTGGCAGAGGCTACAAACGCGTGGCCATGTGACAGCATTTCGATAGGGAGAGCGGACATTTGGGGTTACTGAAGTTAGAGTAATAACAAGATCGTGACAAAACTCAAACAAATGATCGTTAAACCAACTAGTTTAGCTCCTAGTCAGTCATTATAAGATTTGGCACAACTATGTAGTGATTTCAAGTTCCTATATATTATACTAGCGCACAAAGAGGAAATCAACAAAGTAATAACTAATGCACATGAATTAATGTGAAATAAGGTGAAGATAAGTTGAGTGATATCGTTAAGTCCTTCATCATCCGACCCTTAGTACTTAGTATTTTTCGGAAACTCGTTCAATTAGTCTTCAAAAGCAGAACAGGGCTTAGACAGGTTCGCAATTACATTCCAAATAAACTACATTGAGTGGGAATGAATTACAGTAAAAGAAAACGTTAGTATACTTATAACTTTACACGAGAACGTTCTCATCTCCAATTAACCACTGGCGCAAGTTGGCTAGTAGTGGGACGATCAACGTGCTCAAACGCAATCCTACATGGGATACGCTTTAATTCAATCTGTATCCCGCTAACGGAAAATTAACCGAATACTTAAAGACAAATAAACGTATTCAGACTACTGCAACTGACTCGGTGCTACGTAACTCAACATTCTCAATTATTCCTTGAGTATAATCAATCAACTAGAACGTCAATAATTTCACGACGTGATACTGTGATTGGTGTTTAACCGCTGCAAGGACTTTCGCGATTTGTATTTCTTGCGACAAGATAACGAGAGATGTTGATGATCTGTGCTGTACATAGATACAAATCTCACGAAACGTTGGGTCTAAAGTAAAAGATGGTTTATCAGCTTTAAAAGAAACACAGTACCCGATTACCGAGTATATTTTTAAAAATAATTTCCGGTTCCTATGATATACAAAGTGGACACCAATTTTTCGTAAGATTAACTTTATGAGAAATATAAGAGGTGCTGACCAGCTCAACTGGGCATGAAACAGCAGTTAGAAATTGAAAAATTTGGCCGGTCTATTAAAAAATAGTCTGGATTTGTAATTAGAAATTGTGGGTTTAAAAACTAAAGTTTAAATATAATTGTACGTTCCTAACTATTATTGCGCTATTTTAATAATTACAGACTACTTATAATAACATTATAACCAGCTAATTCTATAACAGTGAAACGGTCAGTTGATGTGACATTTTATTATATTGAAAAGATCAGTATACTATACATAAAAATATGTTTTGTGTATACGGTATCATTTTTTGGAGGCCATGATCTACATTTTAGTTGTGTTTGCAAAGTTGCGTGAATATGCTGTATATCGACTGCATACCATTGAACTTACCGAACTGGGTAATTTTGAGTGCATTTCAAAGTTCGCACTAAACTTTGATGTACAAAAACAATAAGAAGTGTTAATATCAATCTACAAGCTATTTAAACTATGGACATGATTCGAGAATAAAGTAAGAAACCAATTGATATGCACTGATGTGCTCCGTAAATCTTCTTTGAAGACTCAGATTCTCTTCAAGATCGTTGATTTCGTAGATTATACGTGGATATAAGTACTGTCTGATTCTATGGTATACGAGAAACCCCTAGGTTCACTAGCTTTATATCTTCATTACCACGGATGCTCAAATTATTTCCATGCTCCTGTCAAGTTTTAAATTCAGGAAGAGACTTTCTTATATTCATACATTATTTATGCGGCTACTGTGACTAAATACACTTGTTCCAAAATTGGCTTCTTGTGTATTTTATTAAACAATGGTTTTGGTGTGCTGGTTAAACCGCACAGCCAAATCATCAGCCGGACCTAATTATTTTTGCACTCTTTACTCCCAAATCAGTTCCTGGTGTCAGCTAATAGAGAATTATGATCATGGGATACGGATACCTCTAGGTATATCATCTTCACCAAATTCGATACAAATAAACTAGAAGCAAATTGGCAAGCGTATGTGGTTGTATGCTCAATTTTTAATTTTGTCTTTGCTGGCTCCTTAGACGTTGGTTAGTTATTTTTACACATACCACTTACTCACATACAAGTATTGGAAAGGAGAAGTTTTAGGTCTTATCACAAAAACAATTACATAAATTAATTTCAGCAATTTCCCTATAATATTATGAGCAGTTTTCTTTATCAGATTTTAATTAACTTAGAAGAATGGTAATATGCGGATTAGAGGCCTGGGTAAACATGGCAAACGGTGGCGAGTTAAACTAGTTTCGATTCCAAGATTTTCATAATCTAAGACTTTTGCTATTTCTCGTTGTCGTTTATTGATTTCTTTGATGAGTGTAAGTGCATTGTGTGTGTTTGCTGGATCGTTGACCAATATTTTCCTTTTTTCTTCCGCTCTCCAGCCGTCCTCACTCGCGTTACCTCACATGCTCCCTTGGTACACAAATTAAATTCTTGCTGGATGCGTGCCGCTACATAGGCAATCTTTTGGACACTTGGAAGGAATGTTGCACCAATATTCTTAGCTTAAAGAAAAAGTATGCATACGCAAAACACTTTGACGTTCAGCTTAGACCTGAAATTTTTGCTCTAGAAGTTATATAGATCACATTGTCCTTGACCCGATATTCAGAGGGCACGACCATGTTAGAATTAATTGGACTAATATACAGGGTGAAGTCATTATATTACAGTCGTAGTTCAAACAGCATAGACAATGATAAGATGGATGTGGTTCTACAAAACTGAGGATTTGTGTCCATACACAGAGAATGTGTTTCGCACAACAGGATCTGTGAGATTTTCAAAAATGCGCTTGTATTATGAATGTCAGTTTATTGACGTCGATTAGCATAAGAAAGTCAGACACGAAAGCGAGTAACTCTTCAGCCCCGACTGAAAACGGGAAAATTGACTCCGGTGCTTCCCTAGGAGTAGCACGGACTCATATCCGGTAATTACACAATCGAGCGATGGACAATCCCATTGTAACGGAAAGAAAACACTGAAAATCCCTCAACAGCACTACAGTGGACAGTACTGTTGTCTATTTGTTTCTTCTCCTTGCCTCTTATTTTTAACTTTTATTCAGATCTCTTGTTAACCACACTTCATATTCATCAGTCTTCCTTGTTGAGGCCTTTGTTGTGTGATACCCGTTAAAAATGTATCTCACGTTACTTAGTTTACTGCTGCATGTTGCCAGACTGTCGACAGTAGGGCCTTATTTGACTGGGATCAATGTCATGATGTGGTTCAGTGTATGACTCTCAACCTCTGACTATCTGATTGGAAAGGTTGCTGGAATCCTTGCAGATAGACATTTGACCCCATCTTCTTGAGAATATTTTTATTGATTCTCAGGCATTGATCAATCCTTTCGTTGTTGAAAACGTTAGTTTGGGTTAGAAAAACTCTTGACTGTATAGTACAGACAGTGCCGTTTGAGGCATCTTGTATTTTTTATGGAACTTGTTCCCTTTCTCAAATTAGAACAGTTTAATTTGAGCACAGAGCTTGTGTTTTGATGTAATTTAGTATGAGTAACTCAAAAACGATTTGTACGTTATACAGAAAAACGCAGTTTGGTCTAATCTAATAAACTTCGATTCATTAGTTTTGAAATTCAAACAGAATATTGATATTTCGATGGTTACACCTACTTCGTTATTATTACTGTCATGATGTGACTACTATAACTATGAGTTCTTACGTGGAAGTCACATCACTGTCCTTGAGAAAACCGGAATATCCGATGCTTACTAAAAACAACAAGAATTTTGCAATGTCGCCATTAGGCCTGACACAACAAACAAGATCAGTGAGGTAAAGGTATATGAACATAACTTCGGAAGCTCAAGGAATATATGAAAATCGGTTGTCAAAATTCGTGGTCAGGCTACCGAAGTAACTTTTCCCGAGCATCAGTTATAGAACAAGCACGTATCATTGAATTTCCATCATATTTACGAAGGGAAATGCATCTCAAATAATAGAGAGTGACCAGGGTAAAGCAGAGACTATAGAGGACTAGTTCGGAGCAGCTTTCACCCAGTAGCCTCTCATAGACGAATCACTAGATCTAAATACAAGGTCAAAAAGTCGACTAATCACTTTGGATTTTTATTGGGACGATGTACTAAAGGCTCCTAGCTTTTTGGGCAAGGAAAAATCAACAGGATACGATGAATTGTACCCTAAAATCTAGACAAAAATTGGGCAAAATATTGCTATCTCACTGACTATGATATTCGATATGTGAGTCACCTACGGGCTGGAATTATACAACTGTCACTTCAATACAAGATCAAGAAGACTGCTATTAAACCACAGATGTATCAGTCCTACTAGTGTCTTAGTTAAAATACTGGTAAGAATAATCAAGAAGGCCATAAAGACACACATGGAAATTAAGAACTTGTTAACAGTAGACTACATGAATGGATGGTGGCCAACAATAGAATGCTGGATGCAGGAGAGAAATGGATAGGGTCGACGGATGATGGAAACAATCAGCGGATGTTTTCCACATAAACGTCAGGAAAACAATCAATAAGGTGCCGAATAAGAGGCTTTTTTGAAGCTGTAAAATCTAGATTCTATCCAAAATGGATCAAAGATGTTTTGGTAGGCTGTGGATAGAAAGTTATAACAAATTGCAGATGGCCGTTTTGGGAACCAGTATTTATTGCAGTTCTGCAAGGCTCCGTCCAAGGTCCTTTACTTTTAATACTGTATGTAAATGAACTCCCGAGTATAGTTCAGTCACCGACGTTATTCTATGCTGATGATGTAAACATTTAGCAAGAAATATCAGAAGACGCAGGTGTATATGCACATAAGTCCGGCTTGGACGCTCTGATTAGCTGGTCTGGAACATGACTGGCACCTATTAACGCGGCTGAGAGTTTCTACCTGCAAGTTGGTGATAGAAAGAAAAACAGGTACAATGTAGGGCGAAAGTCGGTGCTCGTAGTCCGGTATCAGAATGACCTTGTGGTGATTTTAAGCCACAATCTTAAGATCGCAGCCCACTACCGCGTGATTGCGGCTAAAAAGTTTAGAAATGTGTAGGCTTTAAGGCAGATTTTTTTCAAGTTGAGCTAAACCTATTTACTCCGTTCCAGCACAGATTAAGCGGTTATCTGATTCTGATATACAGAATACCAAGAGGTGATTTTGGGTCCTATACATATAACATACAACTTAAAAGACATAGGGGCAAGTATGAAAACAAAGAATGAACAAAATAATAGTGTTATACTGGTTTACACATGGAGTCACTAAATCTTGGAACATAATAATCATAGAAGCGGTGTCTTCAATTTCAACTGGCACATTCAAGAAAAAACTAGACACGCTCATAGGCCTATTAAAAAGGACTAATGTGAGCCATAGGCTTTCTGTCCACAGTACACAAATCTAAAAGTGTGGGAGTTCAAGCCTAGATTATTTTCTAATGGAACTCGTCACTCAGTATGTGACTGAAGCTCCATCTGTCGACGGGTGTAGAAGAAAGTTTGATCAGTTGGGAGGCGATCATAGCCATATAACATACATGCCACCCAGCCTCCAATCCTTTCAGGGCCGAAACTGTGACCGAATTCCTATTTCCTTTCAAAACGTACAGTAGGTTATTGGTTAATCGAGTGAATTTCAGGTGTAGTGGTTATCCAGGGAGGATCTTTGGAGTAAAATTCATTAAACAACGGTCGTCATTGTTTTCTTACCGATTACACAACTTTGTTTTGGGTGTTATTTTTTACCGTTTCTCCGTTCGTTTGTAGTCACACTGTTCGGTGTGTTGATATTTGTCTTGGCATCCTATCATTGTCCTTGCATATTGTCACATCTCGATCACGGTGAATATATATGCTGGTAGTGTATTATCGAAAGATAAAACAATCAGACTACTCATTTTAAAGAATGAAACACTTATAAAACCCTTTATACTAGATATACATCGTTACTAAGCGTCTCGATATAAATCCAATGTAATAAATTAATCGGAAATCTCAGAACTAACAATTCAAGGTAACATTGCTTTTCATGGACAGTAACAACAAGTTATTTGTATTGTAGTAGCTCAGTACACTTTTCTCATTTTCTAACTGTTCGTCAACTGACGATTTATTAAAATATCAAGTAACTTAACAAAAATACTAAAAATGTACCTCATTTAACGATATGGTATGCTACATTTCAAAGACGACAAAGAACTATATCTGGTGTTTTCAAAAGTTATGTGAAATAATCTAATAAACGGCATACAGCTTTACCACTGAAATTGTTCGTAAACTACGACTATACTCAAGATCAACGGTTTTTACATAAAGGGCTCAGTTGATCACGGTCGAAATTGTACTAAATAAATCAAACCAATAACATGTTTGAAACTTAAGTTCATTACAACAACCGAA